AACTAGGGAAGATCTTCTGAAGTGCGTTGATGTTATATGCACTTTTATGTAGTACTCCAGCTCCTCCTCTACTATCACACTCAGTGAGTAGGTACACACATGGGGACTGGGAGAGAGCTATATCGCTCAACCCGCTCTTCGCAACTCTTCAGCTTCTCAAGAGGAGTCTCAATGCGGGCTGCTTCTGAGTAGGTCTGAGTCTTGAGGCTAGCCATCGAGGGTGTTCCCATGCAGCCCTATTGGGACTAACGTTGGCCCTTGAGATGCCCTCATTGGCCCATCGTTTGGCGGAGTACATCCTTTCTACTTGTCTCAACCCTCATACAGCTCCTGCTGTGTTATTACGCTGTAGCTATGTAAGGATAATCGTCGGTTTGGTCGGAATTATTCGCTCATTTTAGTATACTGACAACAACGCTGATGCGAAGGCTCTCGCTGAAGCTGCTGAGGCTTTACTACTCGATAAGTTCGACGTAGGCGGTTGGTCTGTAGCAGCTACAGGTTGACCGAGACCCCATTTTCAGGAATGTATTCAGCCGAGGCTGGGGAACCCCTTGAGGGTATATGAGCTGTCACAGCTCCCAATGGCGATGATAGGAAGGATACTAACGTCGGATAAGTTGGGTCTGGGGGCCTCTTCGGGAGATGAAGAACTGGTCTTGAGGACATGTAATCGGCAGTAGGGGGTAGGGCTGGTGATGGGAGGCAATGCAGGTACGAACGTATTGAGGCAGAGGATGGATAGAAGGCATATCAGGGTGGGTATGGAGATGGTGAAGCCATTGAGTGGTAGTAGTTGTGGGGGACTGGGGGTAGATCAGTATGGTGGTAGGCGCTGTCGAGGTTAAGTTGAGGGTGATGGAAGGGATAGCTAGCGGGTCGGAGTGTGTGAGGGGGGATCCTGTACCGAGGTATGAGAGAGTAGTATCGTGGGGTGAGGGAGAGGAGGGAAGAATAGTAGAGGGAATAGTACCTTTATTGGACGAGGCGCCTTTGGGGGAGGTGTGGGCTGAAGTGGAGTGGAAGCTCTCATCAGGAGAGGTAAGGGAGGGGGAGAGGAAAGCTAGGGTAGAGTCGAGATCAGGTCATTGTGGATGAGCTCTCGAAAGAGGTCTTCCAGAAGCCACAGCAAGAGGAGGATGAGGAAGAGGAGGATGATGGAAAGGAGGTGTCTCTGCCCAGTGGCGCGGTGGTGAGGGTCACACTACGGTCTGAGGAGCCCGTCCAGGAGCCGGAAAAGGATTCTGGGGAGAGTGGTGGTGATGAAGATGTAGCTGTGGAAGAGGAAGGGGAGGTGAGTGTAGGATAACTGGTCTCGTGGAGGGTGAGTGTCTTAGGATGATGAGGATAGTAGTAGTCCGAAGAAGGAGGAGGGGGTGTGGGAGAAGGAGGACTTCGAGATGGTGTAT